TTCTTCCATTTATCTCTGTCCCGGCCATCCTTCCAAGCTCGTTCCAAGTGAGCTTCTTCTCTCTCATGTCCCTTTGCACACATCTCCTCCATGTTTCCCGTGGTCTACCCCTGCCTCGTGCTCCCTGTGGGTTCCACTGCGGTGACTGTCCTGTGATGTTTCTGCTGTGCTATGTACATGTATACCACCAACAAAAAAACCCTTTTCCTACATAGATCACACTACAGAATCATGTTCCTTGACGTTGGACAGTCTGTGCTATACAACAGAGGGACCTCATGAACCACCAGCCCCGCTGTTCCGCCAACTCCGTGCTTGTCCCAAGGGTGGGGGAATAACGAGGTTTGATTGTACGTCCTGAAATCAGCCGATTACAGCAATTGTGTGGACCATAATATGTGAGGCAGCGTGGTGAAATCAGGCATTTGTCAAACTAATGAAATTGAAGAAACTGGCATTTCTGTGTGGATTATACTGAAAATGTTGACTAAGTGCACTAAACATATAAATTTCAGTTTACAAGTACTCTCTAGCTATGAAATTAACCGAACTCTAGCTACCATTTTTCTTGCTATTTTTACCTCTGAAACGATATCTCGACTTCTATTCAAATAGATGAGTAGTTTTTTCTTTGAAAGCAAGAAAAATGAAAAAGTCCTAAGTTGATATCAATAATTCAATATGCCCAAAAATTGACGAGCGCCTGATTACACCAGGTCGTGATACATACTTAAGTACATTAGATTGCCCTGACAAGCAAAGGTCTTTTGGAAGGATAAAAGAGAAGCCTGCTTCCTGTGCAATGAAACTGTGTCGACAAGGATGTAAAAGATTTACATAATTTGTTGCAACCAGCGAGGGACCAAAGCATGTGTTATGGGTGGCTGGTGGGTGCTCTGATGTATCTCTTTTATAAATACATCGCGGACATTACATTTTTTTTATATGTCTCATGTGCCCCTCTTCATCCTAAACAGACATAGGTGTATATACATATTAATATTTATAAACTGTCGGCTTTAGATACATATGTGTTGTATATATTTATATGTTTATTTATTTAT